ACTGATGATATTCAGAAGTGGCCACAAATCACACAAGGTAATTTCTTCATGGGTGTTTGGAAAAGGAAAAGAAGTTAGTTTGATGATGTGTTTTAGAAGACAATATCATGACAAGCCTAACTTTTGTATTGAGCGGTTTGCCTGAGTTCCATACAGATATTTAACAGTTAGTTATATACAAATATGTACCAAGACTCAAATAGTAAATTCAGCATAACTGTACTATTTTATAAAAGATACTCCTATCCTGCTTCAAAGGCATCCAGTCTCCCAGGTTGCTACATGTATTTACTCTTTTATCCAAAAAAGAAAAAAATAAAAAATAAATTTTAAAAAAAAAAAAAACATACAAAGAACAAGGAAGAGTATAGCTATTAAAGAATTAAGTCATAAAGCAATATTTACAAGTAATAATCACTAATCAGTCTTTACTCTCAAATGGAAAAAAACAGAAGAAAAAAATTGCTTAATCAAAGAGCAGAAAACTATAACCTGTAAGGCGGCACTAGGTCCTTGAGTCCACCAACTAGCACAAGCATCAAACTGTTGAGTCATGACATTGCCATTGTCAGCCTGAAATTACAAAAGATGAAAATGTTACTTGAAGTAGGAAAAAAACTAACAGCACCTACGCCAACCACATGTCAAAAGGGGAATGAGTTGCCAATAATTTATATTAAGATGAGTTAACGTTAATATAAATCGGAGACTATACATATCAATATAGCCCACTTTAACTACTTGTTGAGTCGTTGGTGAATATTAAAGAGTTGGGATTTATAGCTTAAGGACCATAAACAAGATAAACATATATCCACCTTGTGAACTGCAAAGTTTTCACCACAACGGGAATCTATTACAGTGACTTTTTCTTTAGGTACAAACTGATGCTGCGTAAATGGCCACCATAGGATGTCTCCTGCCATCTTTCGCAAGTCATGCAATCGCTTTACTCTCTCAGAAAATGCTGACAGCATTATTTGCTTCAGGGAAGCAAATACATCATGGGATTCATCAAACCATTCCATCAGGTCATCTGATAGATCTTGTGGAACAGGTGGCAATACAAGAACTGGCAAGCTAAGATAAATTCACACCATTAACAGAGAACTAGCTCAACAGTTATGGAAGAAAGCATGAATACGTCAACACAAGTCAAAGACTTATTAACCTTCCCGAGCATCAATTAGATATGCATTAAAACGAAATCCTTAATTATTATGTCTAGAAATGAAATTAACATATCTAGAAATCATATGATATAAAAAGGAGTAATTCAAAGATATTGAAAAAAAAATAAGCACTCTCCTCCCTCTTCCATTGTGCATCCATGAGAAAAAAGACTTAAAATAGAGAGAGACCCTACAGGCTCGTCAAAAATCCACACAATAGCTATACCGATGGCCAAAAAGTGGTTCAGTTTGCAGTAGATTAACTAAGATATAAATAAAGTGTCCTCACATATTACCTGTTCTGTAAATAAGACAGCAAGGAGCCATCATTTGCAAGGCCATGATTTTCAAGTACTACAGCTACCACGTCATAGCCTCGAAGCTTTAAAGTTTCATATGCAGAAATTGTCCCAGAAATACCACCTAGCCTTCCATCTCCGACAAGAACAGCAGGTGTACGAAAAGGCCTGCAGATAAGCAAAAATGCTAAATCAATAGAGAAGCTAATTGACAAAAATGATCAGATTCACAAGATATAAGAAACTCCTCAGTTATTCCTTCATCTAAACTTCAAGGAGAGAGAGTGAAAGATATAAAATGGAACCAGAGATTGCTGCACATTTAACAATTGAAACAACTTGGCCTATTGTTTATGAATAAGCATAAAAATACTGCTTCATCTTTATAACAGTATCACATAAACAAACTATATAAATCATCTTGAACGAACAGCTAACGACAAACGTTTCATCTTAAACTAGCATTTCCATAGGAATGGACATTGATTTTTCTTACAAATTCATTCTCATTACCACCATTTAATACTACAATATCAAACAACCATAATAGTTTGACATTACCCTAAAATTCTAGCTCATCAAAGCCTAGTTCCAAAATGATTGGGGGTCAGCTAACATGAAAGGAAATTCTTGCACAAAACATCACATAAAAATCAAAACTATAGGATAAACATTAATGTACCTGTAAAGATCACATTGAAGAGTACCAGAAGGTCCAGGACTAGCAACACCACCAGCAGTTTCAATCAAACTCCAACACTCACTCTTCTCCTCACCCTCTACTCCCATCCACAAGCATTTCTCCACCATTTCCAACACCTCTTCATCCTCCACACCCCCACCTTCTCTCTCCACCGCCAAATGCGGCGAAACCGCCTCGTTCCACGCACACAAAGTCCTACAAATCAGCCTCTTTTCCCTAAACCCCATCTCACCACCCACCTCCCTCTCTTCATAATCCCCGTTAACCTCCTTCGCAGCGGCACCCGACACCTTAACAAGATGATTCGACGCAACAAGAGAGAATTCAGCGCGACGACGAAGGAAGAGATCACAAACCCTATTGAAAACGAAGCGCGAATCGGAATCGGAGGGAAACCCAGTTTGAACAGGCTTAATGTAGTGAAATTGAGATGGGTTTTGGGATTCGAGGACAGAAGAAGCGATTCCTGCGGAAATTAGGGTTTTGCCGAGGTTGGTGTTGGCAGCCCAGATTGTGTAGATTGGGTGAGAGAGAGGGAAGGAGGAGATGAAGCGACAATGGAGGCGGAGTGGAGTTGAGGAGAGAGAAAGTGAGGTTTTGAGGAGAATTGAGAGTGTTTTCATGGCGGAAAGAGGAGAGAGAAAATGGGAGAATTGGGTGGAAGTGAAGAGTGAAGAGTGAAACGGCTAGCTAGAAAAGATAGAATTTTTTGGTGGAAAAAGATTTGGTCTGGTGGTCCGTATTAAACTGCGTAATTGGGTGGAGTATTGAATTGGTAGTTGAATGGGTAGTTGGATACTTGAATGGGTTATGGCTTGAGGCGATGGGGCTGAGATAACGAGGAGTGCTATGACCTTTTTTTTAGATCGGAAAGGTACATGGTTTTAATGGTAAAGGTCTTACGAACAAATGGCAACGCTCATTGTGCGTAGGGTATATCTGGTTGTATATAATTATAATTACAATTGCACATTAAGCTACATGTTATTAGTTCTCTCATGGCTGATTTGAGGGCTGCAATGCTTCACGTATATGGTGGAAAATCCTCTTTGAAAGCATGCTTTTTTTATATTTAAAAATTCGATGCATACGCAAACACATACATTCTACTTGAACACGAGAACGTTGTTGAAATCCAGTCAATCTACTAGCTTAATGAATTCGCTCTCCATCTATCTTTTTCTATGTTGGTAGCCTCTTACTAATCAAACATGTGATGATCAATAGGCCAATTCAATTTGGGATTGTAGCACGTTTTTCTAAAGCACTACTCGTAATTTGCTGGCAACATATCAAACCAGCCATCCCATGATCCATCCACCAACTAAAAATAGTAATCCTTTTCTACTACCAGTGTTGTACTGAAGTCATAAAATTTGTAGGCTATGAGCTTCATTCAAGGTTATCAACTGTCCAAGCTTTAATTGATCTGGTCGCATGGATTCCATGATAGCATTTTTAAAGTGATGAATGAGAATTGGATGGTAACCTTATTAACATAATGACATTAGGCTTTTTTGAGAGAAAAATATGGGCTAATACGAAGTATAAGTTTACCACCATTTTTTTCTTACAAAATAGCCTACTAAGGTTATCAATCTTATCATCCAATTCACATTTATCACTTTAACAAGAGAAAGGGTTTTGATATAGCTAGGGAAGTTGGGGTTTGGATTCAATTAATTGGATTAGTGAGTGTGACCATTACTTCTAAAATACACCCTTGGTATGAACCACGCCCTTTCAACATATTATTAATCTTGAATGGACTCATGAGTGTGACGTATTATATATAGGGCTGGCAATCCCTGACTCGACCCGATATCCCGACCTAAAGTTACTGAGAGAAACCCGTACCCAATCTGACCCGAACCCGAATTCGACCCGATTTGACCTAAATTTCATATTTCATAATAATATTTAGTTTTACACTATTTTTTATAGTTTCTAAGCACAACTCGAAATCGACTCAAAATCTGACCCGAACCCGACCTGCTGACCCGAATTGTCACCCCTAATTATATATCAATATTTACATGGGTACATAGTGCAACTTTGGTCTTTGGTGCTCCATCTACTGCTCTAGCCCACCCAGGCCATACGACATAAGCTATCATACCATAAATTTTAAATGGATTCATGAGTGTGACTGTCAATGCAGATAATTTCAATGACGAACACATTAACATATTAGTAAAAATCTATTATACAGATAAAAGACCAAGAGCATGAGTACTTGCAATTAAATTTGTACCTTTATTTTAACCTAAATTAAACCTCGAGTCCAGTTGCGTGATTTGCAAACCAATGTTCTTTGAACAAGAAGAATAAGAAAAATTATATTTAGGATATCTGGAAGTGTTCAACGTTATTATTGAAATAAACTTTAAATTTAATATTTTGTTTTGTGACTCATTTTATAAAAACTTGTCCTTAAGCTTGTTCATGTTCAAGTAGGGTGTGTGGCGGCTCCTAACGTTTGAAAAATAAAATAAAGTCTACATCAAACGTTCTCATGAAATTTTGAACCTTTTAGAATCATCAAAAATTCAAAAGTCATTTTTACCTTGAGATCAAGCAGCTCAAAATTCAAAATCCAAAAACAACAATACCATTTGTTTCATACGAAGTAATTAATGTAAGTGGATATCAACTATCTTATATAAAATCAAAATTCTAGTGACTGACAGTCCCAACATCCAAAACTCATAATCAAATCTCATCTATATTATTTGTACACTGTCATTCAGGTCTTTCTACACCAATAGCAATAATAATAAATAATTACTTCATAACTACTCAAAAACATTTGTCAAAGTTTAATCCTTTATAAAATAACAATTTTATTAAAAATTCATTACAGTTAATACTTTCACAATATACAAGATCAAAGTGACGATCCAACATCGATCACTTGTTTATCCAAGGCCTCCTACAATTTCCATGAATCATTACAAAGCTCACAAAGACCTATACCTAAATCTTACACTTTCTATAACCTCTAATTACAAGAAAATAATAATAATTATAATAACTTAATAAATTATTAAAATTAATAATCAAGCATAATCTTGGCTGTACAACATAGTTGTACTATTCTCAGGCTGAAGAACAACACTTGAAGCATCCCACCATCCATTGATCCCGTCGAATTCGTGACCGGCCAACTTATCACCACCAAGAAGCTCATTAAGCTCGGCTTGAAAGCTTAAAACTCTTTGCATACCTGTTGAATATCCCTCAGTTTTCGAAACACTAGTATTATTCATACCAACAAAACTACCAATGCTAGTCTTGTTATTTTTGTTGTCGTTATTGTTATTAGCAAGATTCGAGCTTCCTGATGATGCAGACCCATTTAAGCTAGAGTTTTCCAACTCTTCAACTTGCTCCTTACTAATCATACCATTATTAACATTGTCATCGTCGTCGTTGGTGTTGTTGTAATTGTTGGCTTGTAAGTGTACAAGACTTGGAGTTTGTTGTAAGAAATCAACGTTACTATAATTATTAGGGTATTGGATCATTTGAGGGTTTAGAGATTGGAGGTTATTTTGAATAAGTTTTTCTTGAATAAGAGGGTGTAACTTAGGCCATATTGCAGGGCTATTGAAGAGAGAAAGAGGGTTATTTTGAATCCCTCCTTGTTGGTTTTGAAGTTGCATATGGAGCTGAAGTCGCTCCAGGGCCGAGCTGCTTAACGAGGGCAGCTCGTCTCTGGAGCCGTTTTGTTGTTGTTGTTGCTTTCTCCTTCCAAGGAGCTTCTTCTTAAGCCTAGTGTTCCAATAATTTTTTATATCGTTGTCTGTTCGTCCTGGTAGCTGTGCTGCTATTATTGACCACCTAAAAAAAAAATCGACATTAGATTTCATATATTTTAAAAAATTGGGCAAACTAATAATTTTTTTTATGACCGTGAAAAAGTAAATGAGACAAATATTAAGGAACAAAGGGAGTATGTAGTATTACCTGCTGCCGATGCTAATGTAGAGACTGAGAATGATGTTGTCTTCCTCCTCGGTAAAACCACCATGTTTGATATTAGGCCTTAAGTAGTTCAACCACCTTAGTCTACAGCTTTTTCCACATCTCTTAAGCCCTATAATTAAAAAAGAACAATTCAATACATAAATGACAAGAACCAAAGTCAAAAAACACCAACTTTTGAGATAATTTTCCTAGCTAAAATGTGTTATTATTATTATTATTATTATTATTATTAATACGTCGTAACAAAGATAATTAAGACGCGATTAAGTATAGATACATACCGATCTTTTGAGGAAGCGCGATCCAATTACCACCGGTGCCATATTTCTCAATGTAAGCCTTAAGCTTAACATCCTCTTCAGGAGACCATGGACCTTTCTTCACATTAGCTTTGTCACAACATGGAGCTCTTCCCATCTTTTTCTTTCTTTCTTCAAATTTTTCGACTTTTTCGATCTTCTTTGATTCTTCTTCACTCTCTCTAACTTTCTCTCTCTTGAATGGTTGTTGTTGGTTTTTGCTGATGCTTGTTGTTGTTGTTGATGAAAAAATGGAGGAAGAGAAGACCTTGTTTTATAGGTTGAAAAATGTGACTAATTATTAGGAACATAAAAAGTCTTAAGCATATCTCACCTTCTCCTTTATTTTCACTTCTTTTTTTTTTTCAATCTTCAAACATTGCATTAAAATAATCTATATAATTATTTTTTCTTCTAGGGTTTGTATGTATTAATTTATTAATTAATTAATTAAACTTTGAAATTTGGATTAGTTAACGTAATAATAGACTAAAATAAGATGACGTACAACTCCTCACTCCTTTAATTAATCATAAAAGTAATAACAATAATTAATTAAATTAAGTATTATAAGTTTTTTTTGTTACATAGTAGTAATCATATAATATAAAAATGCATGCATGGCTTTTTAAGCTTTTGAGTTGTTTATTAGTAGGTAGTAAGAGAAAAATGTAACCTATTAAGTTTGTCGTTAAGTAAGATTGAAAATGTTCCTAAATCTTTTTTGAAATCAATTAGTAGCTGCCTTGTACTGTCTGCTGTATTCATGCTTGCATTCATTGGATGAGTTTAATTAAAAGGATAGAAGGAATAATCCATATTCACAACAGCTCCAAAGTATAATTAAACCATTTACAAGAATCCAATCCAAGTGATTAAAAATTGCTTAATTTGGGACGCAATTTTTGATATGCTTGTGTTTGTGGGATCGAAGCTCTATTGGTTATGTTTTTGTTCAATCTGTTAAACGTATAACGAGGCGATCATGTACAATTACAAGTCATATATATGGTATTCGATCTTCTTTTTTTTCAATTGAGTTATTGATTCATTCATGGAAATTTTGTATATATCACTATATACCAATATACCATGAGAGAATTGAAAATTGACATGCGTAAAATGTATGTGTAGAAAGCACATTCATATTTATGTAATTTTTACTATACGAAATTGAAAATTTGTTACTGTTATAAGGATGTAAGTGAAGAAATTAAAGATTAATGCAAACAGCAAGAACATACAAATTTATGTGGTTCACTTGCAGCTAATTTAATGTGTTGATTACGTCTAATTTTTAATTTATATAATGATCAATTTTTATTATGGCCGAAATTGATTTGATATGTTGAAGATAACATTATGGCCTATGCCTTATTTTTATTGACCAATGTGGCAAGCCTTAAATTGTAGCCATATGCAATATTAATACTATTAATCATAAAACTCTCTATAATCACCAACTTATTGGTCTTACATGTTGACTTTTAATTAATTTTTGTTACATCATATTGCTTTTAATCCTAGCCCGTACAATTATATGCATATCATTATTTTACATTCACCTTTTTCCCCTTAATTCGTTTTGCAAAGTCAAAAGTAGTTTAAATTAAATTGAATGAGATAGATGGATTACTGAATAAGTGAATTTATCACGACATAGTACAAAGTTGAAAGATGGTATCTTGGACTAACCTTTCCTTTGAAAAATGTTAAAAGACTCTTTAATTGATAATATCGAAACTTATTTCTAAAAATGGATCGGAAAGAAAATAAAGAATTTACTTCTCGATCATTAACATAGTTGACTCATATATATACTCTTTATGCATCACAAAGTACGTGTTTTGTAGAATGTCTTTTAATTACTATGACAACGATGATATGAAATTAGTACCCGTAAGATATTTTCATGTTATTTACTCTAAATCATTACAATTTTTCATGGTTACGTATTAGACTTATACATTGATTAGAGATCAATTTAAGGTGTGAGACTTCCAAATTCTCAATCATTTCATCTCAATTCTATAAAATAATAATAAAAAAGCTCTTTTTATTATGAATATAATGGAGTACAAGTAAAAGATATATTGGCAAAACCATACGAAAAGTAACATGGTAAATCCAAATTTAAGGAACGTAACTACATAAGTACCGTTAGCTAAGTTAGAAAGACTATTAAACTATCTTCAAAAACTTTTTGAGCATAGGTAGGATTTTACATGTAAAAGCATAGAATGATACTCCATCAAAACTTATTATAATTATATGCGCAATTGTGCACTACATTTCTCAGCTCCCTCGACAAAATTTTGAAATACAAATGTGCACTTCGTCAGTTCTTCTATTAAACAATACTAGCTTCATCATTTCCCTTTATCTACATACTCGATCTTAGTTTTCTCTTTTGTTATTAGTTGTACGCAGTTTGTCTGGAATTAAAAGTCGCATATATACTTAAATACTATTTTACATTGATCGGAAACTTCATCATACAATTTTACAAAGGTATGATAGTTTATGATAGGATTTTTTAATTAGTTACTTCTTACATTATTGATGGGAGAGCTTAAGATATTGATAACACGATTAATAGTAAAAAAACAAAGGGGTATTTCAGTTTGATACGGAGTAATAATGTAGAATCACTCCGTGAAAAGTATCATTGATTCTAAACTAGGGGCTTAGATTGTACAACGAGATTGATCCTTTGTTCGATCATTGTTCTAATTAGGGGTGCTCATAAATCGGTCCGAACCTAAAAAATGGACGGGATCGACCCCGGACCGGACCAGACCGAATTAATCGGTCCGGTTTTCGGGTCTAGAAATTTTTTTCGGTCCGGTCCGGTCTAAAACCCTATAAAGACCGGTCTTGGACCGGACTGATTTTTTGCTTAAAATTATGTGTGAAACCTTAAATAATGGTTAAGATTATCCTTAATAAGCTTAAAAACTTTAATTTTATGAGCTTTTTTGTACTAAACATGCAAAACAATACGTTAAAATTTAGTTTTTCCTTTACTTTTTTCGACTTTTCCATAAAATTATTAAAAAATTAGATTTTTTTTAAAAAAAATTCTTAAATCGGTCCAAAGTGGTCCGGTCCGATTCTTTCGGTCCAAGTTCGGTCCCAGCTTAATCGGTCCGATCTTGGACCAATGAACAGCCCGAGTTCTAATACAATATTACTTTCCCTTTTTTTCATCGAAAAAATTATATATTTTGATAATCTCAATTTTGGTCAATTTACTTTAGATAATCTCAACTTTCGTTTATTCTGGACGGAATAATCTCAACTTTCACCTGCTTTTTCTTAATTTGCAAAAATAAACTTTAATTTGGTCAGGTGCACATTGATAAACTTGCCAGGCCAAATGAATATGAAACAACTAAAAATAATCAGAACAAGTAATTGTAGATATATCGTTGGAAATTTGATTTGCTAACCCTCTGAAAATTTGTTTTACTCATTAGGCCTTGTTTTCTTTACCATTTTCAAATAATATTCACTAAAAATTATTAAAGTTTAGTAAAATTAATTTTAATTTAGTTTAGTTTTAATAAGTTATTTTTGTTAAAAATAACTTAAGTTCAGTTCAGTTAAAATTTCATAAGTTGATATTTCTCTATGATACAAAATTAAAAGATCTGTATTTTTTAGGTAGGCAACATGTTTATCTGGTTGTAAAAGAAAGAAAAAAAAATTGTTTATCTGAGGAAGGAATGAAGGGATAAATTTTGTGAAATTCCCTTAATAAAAAAACAAGCATACCCTACAATAATGTTCTTTTCTTTTGAGCTAGTGATGAAATTTAGCTTATGTTGTTCTTCATTTTCTTACGAAGTGTCATTATTGTCCAATTATTTTAATTAGCCCCATTAATATGGCCAAATAAAAGGGAGAAAGATATGAAAAACTAAATAAATAAATTGAATGCCAAGTTGTATAATCCTACTTTACTAAAAAAAAAAAAAAAAAAATTCCGAAAAAAGCTAGTGAATATTTTAGTTCTAGCAGAAAATAACAAAGGAAAAACCCCAAAATTTTCAAACTTATTTGCACCACTCATTGACCTTAATTTAAATTAATTTAATACACTAATTTGGACTAATGTTTCTTGGCTAATTAATTATTACTACTATATTAATTACTTAAGGTCAAGAACATATCCCTACATGAAAATATACAAAATAGAAGCTAACAAATTTTCAAAAGCACTCACTCCCACAAATTAACATTTTATTATGTTTTGGTTTTGTTTTATTAATCTTCAAATTGACTCGGATCTTTAGGAAGAATTAAACATGCATCTGTTTGTCTTTTTTCTAATTCCTAGAATCTATGTTATTGAGGCTTCTAATTACATCATCATCAAAGACCAAACTTATTAGGTTCTTCTTTATTTTTATTAAATTAATTTAGGAGGCAGCTGGTAGAGGTTGTCTTGATAACAAGATAAGCTTGAAATTATAGTATTAATTTGAATAGTTTTATTAGTATAGTCCAATGTATATATATTATGTTGAAAAAATAGCCATATAGGAGCTAGGCTTGGGATACCTTATACATTTAAGGGAGTTTTGGGATTTGAGCTTCAGGGATTATGAAACAAGCTAGGGTGATGAGTTACCTTGGACAATCTTAATTAGCTCGGGAATGTTTCTTAGACAGTGAAGTCGAAACACACATATTTTCAAGAAAGATAAAGCAAAGAGAACGGGTCTAGAATTTGTACTTGTAATGCATATGCCTACGTTACTATTCATACATTTATTGTTAGAACAAAGTTATGTTGTTTGTTCTAGTGCGATAAGAGATGGTAAAAATGTCATGACGACTATGCTTGTGAATTATGACTTCTAATGAGAACATGTACATCTTCCTCCACTTATATTGAAGAATGGGTTAATATTATTCAAAACAGCAAAATATGAGTGTACATAAATTATAGATAGATGAACTCTACAAAGTAGACATACATACATAATTACATATAACAATTCACTTGTTCGCATAAAGTCATAATAAAAACAGTCAATTGGTGTAGAAGCCTTGTTCAATTCAACAATGTAAATATGTTAGTACATTGATCAACGAAATTACAATAATGCATATATGTACTTGCATGATGCATAGAATAATACATCGTGTTGCAAAAAGAATTTTACGTGACACACAAAATTAGAAATTTCAAAGAAAATTGTTGTTGATCTGAACAAGGCTTATACACCATACCGATGACTAATTTTATCTTACGCTAACATATATACATATACTACTTTCATTTCATAATATATATTACATTTCTTCTCTATATTATATTATCTCACATGCACAATTTTGACAGTTAAAATCTTTAA